AGTATGGTTGAACGATATCTATAACAAAGATTATAAAAGAAAGACTCGTAGATCGATGATTGATTACGAAAAAAAATTTTGTTAATCGCAAGATATGAGATCTTGACACATCCGTCACGATTGTTAAGTTTTCTATGTGTAACGGAATATTTAGACACGTTTATGGATTACCAACACGTGCTTAACAGTGTAAAAGTTTCAAAAACCGTAACTCACAAACAAAGATCAAATAAATTAACGAAACTATTATAAATTATGTATTTCGATTACATGCAAATATCTATGAAGAAATATGTACGATACTATAAATATTTCGCATAAATCTTTCTTTCATTGCACACGACCAAACTTTCGTAAATTGTATGAATACTCTTAATCGAATTAAGCAGAAAACAAAAATTATGTAAAACTGACACATACTTTGTATGTAAAACATTCGATCATCGTTTTCAATAATAATGTGAAGTTACAAAAGTGACATGTGAAAATTTTTCAGTAGTTACAATAAAATAAAAAAATTTTTATAAATATATTGAAGAAAGAAATTGTTTTATTCAATAATATTTTCCAAGATTAATAAAAGTTAATTTTTATTATATTAATATAATGTTAAAATGTTAAAATTTAATTATTAAATCAATCGATTCTAAATTAAATTAAATTTCTTTATTTGAAGTTTATTTTAAGTTAAAGAAAAATAAATAATTAAATTTTAATTTTTAAAAATTTATATATCTATTTACGAAAAAATAGATATACATATATCTACTTACGAAAAAAATAATAGTAATATATGATTTTTCATATAAAACTTGTTCAATTTTTATTTAAAATATTTTTTAATATTATGAAAAATAAGAGAAATATTTTACATATAAATTTATGTAAAACATTTGGTATATTCGAAAATTCTTTGAGATTAAAAAAATTGTAAAAACATTAAAAAAATTAAAAATATTCAATATTGTAAAATAGCAGCATTTATATGCTTTTGTTATTTTGTAAATAAGCAAAAGATAAATATTTCCAGAATTAAAAAAATGATTCAAAATGCAAAATAAAATTAGCTGGATTTGGTAAATATATAAATAATAAATATTTCATAAATAACTATATTATAAAATTACATAAAAATTCTTGTTTTTGAAAATATTAGGAAATTTAAGATCGATAATAATATTCTTACAAATTTTAAAAAATTTTCATAAATAAACATTGAAAATGTAAATAATTTGTTAACGAAAAAAAATTTTAAACCAAAATGTATAATTCTCGAAAATTCAAAAAATTTGATATCATTTTCAATTGCCAAAATCCCAAAAATTTTCAAGAATTGCCGAAATTTTCGAAAAAATTTTTTTAAAATTTATTTTAACAAATTTATTTTAAAAAACTCAATCCTTTAAATGTTAAATATTCGTATTTTCAAAAGCTTATAGTACAGAAAAAAATGCAATATTAAAAAACATATATACAACATATAAAAAAATTAAATATATATATATATATATATGGAACTCTTATAATATTTAAAAAACTTATTTATTTGTAAAAAATAATCACATAAAGTACATATAGTACATGAATGTTAATGTTCATTTTTTTCTTCATTATTTTTTTTTTCCTTTTTCATACGTTTTTCTTTTTTTTATTTTCTTTTTCCTTTATCATACATTTTTATTTAATTTTTAAATTATTATATTTAATCTTAATAATTCTAACAATTTTTAAATTTTTAAAAGATTAGATTTTATCGAGTTAAAGTAAGATTAAGTTATAATCTATAAAGTTTCCGAGATCAGCGCCATCTCGTGTTTGGATATTCAAAGTTTCGACTTGTTATTAGCATAACAGAATATGCAAGGAGGTATTCGAAGTTATAGTCACGTAAAATAAAGGATATATGGAAAATTTATTAATTATTTATTTCTTATTTAAAATTATGATTTTAAGTTATTTTTAAATTTGCATTTTAAAGATAGAACTTCAGTCAAATTTTTTATATCAATTTTTTTTATTAATTATTTATTAATGATTAACGCATATTATATTATTATACTATTACATTATACTATCGAAGAAAAAATAATACATACAAAATACATTGAAAATAGTACATGTAAAATTCATTATTTTTATTCTTTTTCTTTTTATTCAAAATTTTTGTTTTTTAAAATTTTTATTTTGGATTTTTATTTTTTTTTTTTTTTGGAGCTAAAATTTCAAACAATCTTCTCTTATCAATTCTAATATCAAATTTTCCAGTAATTATTTATTAATTATTAATATGTTATAATTATATTATTACATCTAAAAAAACACCATATTAAATTAATTAATTACGCATTTTCTACAAAATATTTTTAAGCTTACGAAACGTTTTATATTTATTTCTTTATATTATTGACATTATATAATTTGACATTATTCATTTTGAATGATGAATTAATAAATTCGATTTTCATCCTATATAATAACAATTATTAAAGTATATATTATTCTTGAATAAAATCTAATTCGATATAATTTTTTCCTTCTATTTTCTTATTGTTTAGATTTATTTGTAGTGAAATCCAATACTACTAATTACGCTTCATGGTTGACCAATTTTTTTTGTTAATAATTTTTTTAAAAAGTCGTTAAAAAAATTATTTACAAATATGATAGATAATTAAAAAAAAATTGTTTTTTAAATTTATAAATATTAATCTCATGACATATATGCAAGAATTTAAATTTCGAAATCGAACATGAATAATTTTAATCAAAATAAATATGTCGAAAAATATGAATAGAAACACAGATAAGATGATTATCGTAATTTTATAATAACTTAGATATTTACTGTAAATGAATTAAATATTTAACTATTTTTATGCAACTTCCTATATATTTATATATTATATATTATATACATGTGCTACAGTCACATTTGTCGACATATTTATATCGATTAAAATTATGCGCGTTCGATTTCAAAATTTAAATTTTAAATTTTTGCATACATTCGTGACAATTAAAATTTATAAATTTCTCATATAAAAAAGAAATTTTAATGATTAATCATTATATTCAAATTTGTTAATAATATATTTTATCGTGTAATATTATGTGCAACATAATTTGAATAGTTCATTATTTGATTATTAATAAAGAGAAACAAAGATATTGTTGTTTTAAATGTTAAAATGGAAACGTCAATCATTGCAGCCAATGTAATGAATATTGCCAATTGTGTTTTAGAATTGGTACATAATATTATTTAAATTAATATGTCTCATTTTTTCCTTCATAAATTATAAAAAATGTTTAGAATGTTTTTATATTTTTCTTCATTAGGTGTCAAATTCTTTACACGTCAATGCTACATCAATTGCAATACGATTTCACAGTGAAGAACGTAAAATTCAAGTAATAGATAATGGTATAGGAATATCGAAAATAGAATTAAAAACAATTGCAGAATATAATAACAAAAATTATTGCAATTATCCAATTAGACATGGTATTCATAACTGGAGAAAGCAGACACTTATTAACATTCGTAGATTGTCTAATGCAATGATAATAACTTCTAGATATTATAATTCATCTAAAACATATATGAAAGTAATATTTTTAAAAATAGATTTTAAATATTTTAAATTTTACAAAATTTGAAATTTTTGGAAAATTTTTTTATTAACAGATTTTTAAAATATATCACGAATCAAACATTGAAAGAACTGAAAGAAGACCTTCTCAGGGTACCACAATAACTATTTACGGATTTCATGAATTATCCTTAAGCAAATGGAATATAGCTTATATGTATTATTTAATTGAAAACATTGCTATAGCCAATCCTCAAGTAAATAAATGCTTAATAATAAACAATATTTTTATATTTATTATATTTTATTTCTCATTATATATATAGGTATATATAGGTAGAAATATATATGTATAGAAATATTATATATATATAATATAATATATATTATATTATATTTGCAGACTTCATTCACTATTAGAGATGATAAAATTAAAAAAGTTACCATGATAATTACTAAGCCACATAATCCAATAAACATTTTTAAATCGTTATATAATAAAAAAATCATTTTTTATAAATTATGGTTTATAAGATCTAAACAAAAATCTGATATCAAATTCTGTGCATATATTGGAATATCAAATTCTAATTCTGTTCCTCAACATATTTTTATAAATAATAAACTTGTTCATTGCCCTTTAATTTTGCAAATAATTTCCACTATTTTTATCAATACATTAAAATTCTTCAAAAAGGAAATAGCAGAGAAAGAGGAAATTTTTATTCTATTATTCATTATATGTACTGAATATATTTTTATTATAGAGAATGGAAAAAGAACTTTAATGCTTTCCAATATATATAATTTATTACAAAGTATTAAAAACAAGATAATAAATATTTTTATAAAAGATATTAAACCTTTATCTATTAACGATTCAAAATGTAGCAATAGAGTTAATAAACAAAAATCTAAAAACAATGAAATACAGCTAATTACAGATCATTTAATGCAATTACATACATCTGCTTTGCAAAATATCAATATTAATACAAAAAGCATTCAATTAACACTTTCTGAGTGGTCTAATTGGTCTAATTCTAAAAATTTGAAACAATGTGAAAATAATTCTTTAAGATTTTATAAGCATTTTGATTTTTTACCAAAAAAATTACATAAACTATTGCGTGGAGATACAAAATTAATACAAACTAATATTTTAAATGCATATGATGAAAATTTATACTCAATTAAAGTAAAATCTGAATTGCAAAGTAAGTTATTCTTTTAAATTATTTTTTCAATTATAATAAATTAAATTAAATCTAATTTATAATATTTAATTTATGTTCTAAGTTCCAGATATATTACCTCATCAAGAAATTGATGTGCGTCTATGTAAAAATGACCAATTTCGTGAATTTAAAATAAATAAAAAACTGTTAAAACTTATTAAAGTAAGTAAGTTGAAATAAGAAATAAGAATTGCAATAAGAAATGCATACAAATTACATTATTTATTTATTTTTCAGATATTAGGACAGATGAACAATGAATTAATAATAGGATTAATAATTCAAAATAATATAAAGATGCTTTTATTAATGGATCAACATGCAATTCATGAAAGAATAAGATATGAACAGTTACTTCATGGTAAAAATTTATAATATAATTTTACTATTGTTTATTTATGATATAATTTTTAATATTTATAATATAATATAATTTCATATAAAAGAAAATATTAGTATAATATTAAAATATATTAATTATAAAATATTAATTTTTAGAATACAAATCACAAATAAGAAACCAATTATTTTCTATCAAATTAAAAAATCCTATAGTTATACAGCTATCTGCAAAGAATTGCAATTTACTTTTATCTAATCATAAAATATTAAAAAGATTTGGTATAACTTTTAACATATTAGATAACAATAATATAATAATACGAACAGTACCAGAATGTTTAAAAAAAAGCAATTATAGCGAATTGAAATTAAAGTTAAATATACAAAATCTTTTAAACGAATTAATACAAAATTCTACAAAATATATAAACTATCAAATTAATGATTTACCAATTACTATACATAATGCAGTTGTAATGAAAGCTTGCCATGGTATGCTCTTTTTTTCTTTTATATTTATATATATTTTTAATTTCATAAACAATTTAACAAACATCATATATAAAATATAAATAGAAAAGTTAATAGAATATATATATATTTTTTATTCATACATATTATTTAATGTTAACAAATATATTATCACTATCTGAGTATTTTAGGAGCTATAAAGTTTGGACATTCACTAACATTAAAAGAATGTAAATGGCTTTTGAAATTATTAAATGAAACGAAAACTCCTACTCAATGTGCTCACGGACGACCATCCATAGTGCCTCTATTAGAATTAACGAATTTAGAAACACGACAGACAAAAACTGTTCAGGTATCTCTTTTATATCTTTATGTATTTGAAAAAAAACTCTAATTATATATTTATTTATTTATAAGAATTTAAATTCTTAAATTTTTTAATTCTTCTAAATATTTTTAATAAATTTTTCATTTGTTATATTATATATATATTACATTCAACAAATCAATATTATAACATATTAATCATTAAGTTCTAAACACACAAAATCTATTAAATGTTATAAAATTTTGTCATAAATTTTATATGTTATAAATATTTTTCAATCAAATTAAACATCAGGATATCCCGAAATTAAAATATCTTTTCCAAAGTAATTGACTCTGCTTACAAAAATTACAAATTCAGTCCCTCCTAAAGAAATTGGACAAACGTTATTCGGTCGAGTAAAAAAACACATTGTATACAAAGCAAATTCCAATTCTGGTGATGTACCAACAAAAAGAGTTGTGATAGGTTGTACTATTCCATTTAATGATGAACGTATTTTTAAAACTGCTGCTTTCTATAAAACATAATACAATAAACATTAGAAATATAATTATTGGTCATTAATTAATAGTCATTATCCTTTGTTACTTACGTCACCCAATTTGACTTCTTTGATATATCCAAGATAATTGAGCCTCTTCTCTGCTTCTTGTTTCGCATAATAGATCCAATTATGTAATCCAATTATATCTGAATCAAATTGTTCAGCTAGGAATACTGTTTCAAAGCCAGAACTTGATGCATCTCCGTCGATTCGTTTAAATTGAGAAAACCATATGCGTTTCATAGTGTCTTTAAATTCAAATTCATCATCTTGAATGTATCCTTTATCAATTAAAAATTTCATAGTTGTTTTTATTATGTCTGTTTCAAGAATTTTATCAAGGAGTTCAGATTCTTCTTTACGCTCTTCTGACGTGACTATTTCTTTTACTTTAACATCCAATTCATAATTATTATGTAACATTATTATGGCTTTTATTGTTGGAATTTCATAAGCTTCATCTTTCACACTTAACAACCTAAAATACATTGAACATAAAAATTCGTAAATAGATAAAACAGAATTCGCGTAATTTATTTTTTAATTTCATAAATTTCATAATTTCATAGCATTCATAAATTTAATATTACAACAACATTCATAAATATAATACTCACGGTTCAGTAGCATCGTCGCTGATACTATCATCTTTCTTCTGACCTTGCAAATTTATTGTTATATATTTAAGAGCATTGTTTTTCTCTTTCTCAAATAGACTTTCTGTCAGTTTTTTGATATCATCATTGGAAGTGATAAATCCCAATGGATTGGGATTATTTTGCACTGATTCTTGAGAATTTGTATTAGTTGGTGATGCATTATTAGTACCTGCATTAATTTGGGAAGTTTGTGATGCTTCAATAGCAGATTGGGCTGTTTGAGTTGATTGAGATTGAACAGTTGATGTAGTTGTAGATTGAGCTGTATTAACTACTGATTGTTCATTTGAAATTGGGACAGGTGCAGTCCCATTATTATAATAATTATTATATGTAATTTCAGTATGAGAACCTCCTCCAGTGCCTCTAGTGCCATATATTCCTCCTGGTAGTAATCTATTAACAGCTGCATTCACTCCTGCGCTTACACCAGCAAAAACAAATGCTTCTTTTGCAAGTTGTCCAATACCAGGTCTCTGTGCTTGTTGTACAAAGATCGATTGTTGTGGTATTTGACCCATAGATGGATTGAACTGTCCCAATGGTGAATTATATGAGTGTCCTGGATTATATCCACCATAAGATGGTTGTGCTCCATAAGGTACATGTCCTCCTATTCCAGGATTACTATAACCACCTGATGGATTATAACCATAGCTTAAAGAAGGATTATATCCTTGACCAAGTGAAGGATTATGACTTTGTCCAATTGATGGATTAGAGCCTTGATTAGGATTTGTATAATAAGGATTACTTGCTGATTGACGAGGATATCCACCTAAAAATTATTATTAAATTTATTAATTTTTTATTATTTATTAAATATTTTAATCTATAAATAATGCTTTGTGTTATAGTTATAATTTATCTAATTGAAAAAAAAAATATTGAATACCTGAGGGATTATAACCAGATTGTACATTCGTTGCGCTAGTTTTAGCACTTTGTTCGGATATAGGAGCAGATGGTTTAGGGGCAGTATTGGTTCCAGTTGGTTTCTTATCTGGCACATTCCATCCTATTTTATTTGGATTTGAATTTCCTGTATAAAAAAAATTATCAATTATTAAATAATTGATAAATCTAACTCTCTAATAAATCTAGTCTCAATTAATTAATCATCAATTGTTTAAAAAAAATTAATCGATCTACATAAATTAATCGGTAATTATATATATATTGAGAAATAATGATTTTAAAAAATAAAAAATAAAAATTTTATATATGCATTTCAGTATGAAATGATAAAAAAAAAAACAATTTATATATGCATTTGAATATTAAATATCCATAAAAATTACCTTGATTTGATGTTTGGGATATACGAGGACGAGGTGTTGATCTTGAACGAAATACAGATCCCCATCCACTACTTCCGGTTCTCCGTTTACTCGATTTTCCATTTCCAATATCAACTGTGCGAAAAAAATCATTGTTTAAATCATTGATTAAATACAATATTTTTTAACTACAAACTTTTCTAAAAATCGTATATAACATAATGTATACATTATGTACAAATTACTAGTTATTTAATTAACGAAGCGTGAAACGAATGAAATCATTAAATAAAATCTTGACGGATATTACGTATTCAAATAATTATCCTATACGAACAAAATGTAATCCATTCAACAAAATTTAAAGCTTTATACGTAGAAGTTATTATTAGTTAAATGGAATATATCGAGTCAAAGAGTTTGAGTGGAATAATATCAATTTTATTAATATAAGTGCTCACGTATATTATACGATTCATAATATTCCACCCACAATTGAATGTCTCTATCATTCTATGATAGATTATTGCAACCTCTAACAATTTAACAATTTGCTAAATAAAATAATGATATATCGTTAACATGTCAATTTGATTATTTTCATTAAATTTTATATAATATATAATAGTAGAATAGAAAATAAAATGTTTAAAATATTAATATAATTATTTATAAATCATTTTAATAAAAATAAAGAAATATATTTTTAGGATTTTTTATACTGTTTTAATATATTATTACATTTAATATTAGAAAAGACTTTAGAAGAATAAATAAAATTGTTAGATTAAAATTATCGAAATGATATCGTTTATAGAGAAATCCTGTTATATCGAGGAATTTCCTAATTTTAAATACTTGTTAATTTTTTAATTATGTCTAGAGAACCATATTTGTTTCATGGAATTAATTTAAGATTCATTAGAGTGATTCAATGCCAACCACTATATGGTTACTTTCTAGAAGAACTACGGTTTTTTTTACTTCTTTACAAATTTATCAAATGCTGACAAGTGAGTAATATAATACTCACATATGTTCGAATAAAACTAATAAAATTTTTCCTTGATGAATTATTGTAATCTGTTCAGTTGAAATTTTATAATGCAATTTTGTATAATTTAATGTATAATTAAATGAATCATAGAATAATTTGTTTTTGAATAAACGCAAATTTTTTTTTCGGAATTTGATTATTTCTTATAAATTGTTTAAAAATTTGAATTTCTGATGCTTTCTATTTTAAAAAACTTTCGTTAAATTTATTCTCAAAGAATATTCCTCAAAAATATCTCATAAATATCTTTTAATGTTATAATTCATGGAATATTTTTCATAATTATTATATTTTCATATTATAGAACCCAATAAATTCATCGCTACGTAATTAAACTGTTCAGTCAAGAAAAAATTATTTTTTACTATTTCAAACAATTAAACAATTTACAACAATTACAAAAGATTTGCTTACCAAAAACAAACAACACAAGAATCGTACAAATTAGAATTAGCTTGATATTCATATCTCTGTTGTCTAGTTTTTTCTATTATTTTGCAATTCAAAAACAATCAAAAATCTTTCTGTGAATTGTTCGATGCGCACTACTTGATGGTTAATCCGTTACTAAAAGACTTCCCACAAATTGATGCATACTACCCACGTTGAAAGTAGTTTAGAATTGCAGCATAAATTATACATTGTAGGTTTTTTCTCACATTATTATTTGATAAATTTACAATAAATAATAAATCCAAAGATAATTATATATTTCTGATGTTTGATTGTGAATATTGTTTACAAATATACAATATAACTTTTTTCAAATTATTTAAAAATATTTTTTTCAATAAATGAATTTTTATATTATAATTATATTTTTCAGGAAAAATTAAATCTTAGTTTTCTGAAGTCGTACCATGAAAAAAAAATTAAATATTAATTTAAACAATTAATTTAAAAAATTTCAGAAGAAAATATATTATCAAAAATATTATTTAATTTTTTATTTATAATAATAAATTGCTCTTAATAATTTATGTGAATATTATTAATAAATTAATACTATGAGACATTTGTTCTTTAATAATCTAATTTTTATTACTTATTAAATTGAATTATATTCAATTACATATATGTATATACTATATATTATATTAAATTCTAAATACAACTACTACATATATATTATCTTCTATATTAAAAAATTGGAAGACCAAGATCTATAACTTCGTTTCCGAAATGTATAAATGAATGAGTATAAATGTTAAACTTTGTACCACCAAAAGAAACTGGACAAAGATTATTTGATCTTGCATAAAAACATATCGTGTATAAAGCCATTTCCAACTCAGGTAAAGTACCCACAAATATTGTTACATTTGATCTAACAATCCCATCTATTTGAAAATTTACTTTTAGTAATGAAGCAATCTGAAAAAATAAATATATTAGATGATTAATATGACATTATTACATTGAGTATAATTCTTTAATATTTTTTTAAATAACTTACATTTCCAAAATCTAATTTATTTACGTAACCCATATAATCTATACGTTTCAAAGATTCTAAATATTCGAAATAAATCCAATCTTGTATACCAATAATGGCTGTACCATAATTTTCAGATGCAAACACACGTTCAAATCCGCATGTATTTCCGTTGAATATAGTAAACCAAATTCGACGAAGTACATCTTTTCTTTCAAAATCATCTGGATCAATGAATCCACGATCAGCTAACCATTGCATAGCTATTGTCATCTCATTTGTATTTAAAAATGTATCAATCAAAAGATTTTCTTGTTTTCTTGTTTCTAAAGTACGATTCAATTTTTTACGAAAATCATATTCATAACTATCGTATAAAGATCGTGTTACATAAATTGATGGATAATCTAACAACTTTGATTCTATTTTAAACAATCTAGAAGAAAAAATTAATAAAAATTAAAAATTACTGAAATTATTGAAATCAGTTAGAAGTCAAAAAAAAAAGATTAGAACATACGATTCTTTAGCTTTATCTGTTACATTAAAAGATGTAACTTGAGTTTGTAGATTCAATTTTATAAATTTATATATATTACGCGAAGTTTTTGCAAATAGTTCTTCTGATATTTTAAAAAGTTCATCATCCGAAATTTTATAAAAAAATGTGTTATCTATGCTTATAGAATTGTTAGATAGATTCTTTTGATCATTTGACACAATTGTAGAAGTATTTATATTCTCATTTATTTGAGATTCATTAATGGGTATTCTGTTTCTAACTGAATGTGAACAAGGTATATTAATAGGAATATTTGATACATATAGAATATGATTTCCTAATAAAGAAACTTACCATTTTCTATATTAGAAGTAAATATGCCAGTTGAATTATTAGGAAATCCAGTTACTTGTAATACATTTGTAGAATTCATTTTCTCATCATTAAGTCCAAGTGCAGTATTAAAATATTGATTGTTATAAGTAATATGAGTTGTAGTTGTTGAAGTAGAATCAGGTCTACTTTCTACATAGTTATGAGTAGTATGAGGATTTAATATTCTATTGACACCTGCATTAATAGTTGAAAATACAAGAGCTTCCTTGATCATTTGACCAAAACCTCGGCCAGAATCTTGTTGCCCTGGTACCATTAGAATAGTTTGACCAGGTACAAATGGTTGTACTGCAGGTTGTGCTAATATATGTGTTGGATAATGTGTTGAATAAGAAGGTTGTCCATGTGCATTATAAATACCTTCAGAAGAATGTACAGAATAAGGATTTCTTAATGGCATTGAATTCGTTTGATAAGGTAGAGAAGAAACTGAATTTGGCCATGTGTTACTTAAAGGCATATGGTATGTAGGATAAGGAGGATATTCTCTCATATGTGCAGATTGAGTATTAGCCGATGTTATATGACTCTGTGGATAAACATAATCTTTGAATCCAATTGGAGGTGGAGAACTTGGTATAATTGGTTGATTCGATATTGGTGGCTTATTAATTGTATGTGTTTGAACTGTACTTTGTTTATTATTTCCTAAATAGGGATTGCTCCAGGGAAAATTTGTTTGATGTGATGTTATCTGATCTACAATATATATATATTTTTAAAACAATAGTATTAAATATAATATATGTTTATATTATTTATACCATAATTTTGTGCTGTAGCAGATTTCACAATATGATCTTGTTGTGGTGCAGATGGATAAAAAGAAGTTTGTTTGTTTTCATTTTTTTGTTTTTCTCTATTTTGTAAAACTGAAATAGGCTTTGTAGAATATGATGATTTTGTTTGAACTAATTAAAAAAATTTCATATAATTTGTATTTTATATTTAATATATTATAAAAAAACAAAATAATACTTACTTAATCGTGTTGCTTCTCTACCTTCAGTATTTAAAAATTGTCTATTAATATTTTTATTTGTTTGAGCTATAAGTAGTTTTAAAATTATAAACAATATTTATATTATATTATATTAATGTATGTGAATAAATATTTAATAACATATTTAAAATTAGCTAAATAAAATAGATAGCATATTAAAACAGGAAAGTTTTCTATGAGATGTAGATATAGAAAATTCTTTTAAAAATGATTGATTGACTCACCAATATTATAATTAGGATTTGCTCTATTTGATGTATGATATAAAGATCCATATGATTTTCTATTTCCAGATTTTCCATTTGATTTTGTGTTTTTACCAAAACCTTTTCCAATACTAAATTTTGTACTAATATTATCTAAGAAAAATAAATAACAAAATCATTAATAAAAATATTATATAATAAAATAATCTAGTTATACTTACTAATTAAAATAACACAAATGGATATAAAGAAAAGTGTTTTTATAAACTTCATTATAATATCATATATTATAATATTACTGTAAATACTACATATAATATTATAATAAATTGTATATATAATAATATTATAATAAATTTTCAAAGTATTTTAGAAATAAACGCATATATTTCATACATTAAACTGAAACTTTTTTTCATACTAAATGCATTATATTTTGCAATATATTTGAATCATATTGTAAAGGGTCATTGCCAATGACCTATAGGATAGATATGGATATCTTTAGTAATAAAGACATTTCTTAATAAATTTTTATTTATTCTTAATAACAACCTTCACCAGAATATTCTTTATAGAAATATTAAATTATAAAAAATATATTTTATAAATTCATTCATATTTAATAATTAATAACAATAATATAATAATAGTAATAATACATAGTAATATAATACATTAATAATTAAATATGAGTAAATATTTAAAATTCATGTTGATATATTAGTTTTTTATTATTAACAGTTATATATATGTTTTTTTTAAAATAATAAAATAGTATTAACACAGCCTTTCAAATTTGTAAAAATATTGAAATAATGCTTCTTCAAAAAAAATATTTTTTAAAAAATATAACTTAATTTTTTATTTTTCTTTTGCAATATATCTATTTAAAATTGTTTCACTAGCATAATCTGGAACTGATAATTGTCGAAATGCTTCATCATCTACAAAACAAATTTCATGACCATCCTAAAAATATTTATAATTATTATTAATATTTGTTCATTAAAATATATTTAGAGGTAGAGTATTATAATTGTACTTACTGGATCAGCAAGAATAATTACTCTTACAGAAGTTTTTCCTGGAGTATCTAAAGTGATTAAATCAGTTAATATTTTATATCCATTATCTTTAATTTTCTTTTGAATTTCTGGTTGTTCTGCATAAGGAATTGAAAATGCTATGCGTCCATAAGCTGCAGCATGATTAATTTCAGTACCTAATCAAATGAAATTATATGTTTTATTTGAACTTATTAAAATATATAATAATATCATAATATTATTTATACATAAATTACCAATATCTATAAATTCAATTTTTGTTTGATTTTCATCATATCCTAACAGTACACTTTTCTCAGTTTGATTAAATATTTTTAATTCTAAAATATTTTTCCAATAAGCAATAGTTTTTTGAAGATTTGAACTAGACAAAGTTACTTTTTCAACAGGATCTGTAAATATAAGAAAAATATATTTTTATTTGTTAAAATTATTAATATTTTAATACATTTTAATATTAATACCTTTATTTTTGGGTTGTGATTCATCAATAATATAATATTTGTAACCACCAGGTGCTTGTAAAATAAATATTCCATTTTCTTCTTGTATTGGCCACCCATCTGAACGTGCTCTTTGTAGTACTTCTTTAGATCGAATTGTTATTCCATTAAAATCATTTCCCATTTTGTATTCCTTAATCCCATAATTATAAGTTAATTCTATTACAAAATGAGTATCTTCTGTTCCATATCCTATCATAGTTTTGCTCCATCTATTTCCATATGGTCTACATAATATTTAAATATAATATAATAATATTTGCATAATAATATCATATAATATAATATAATATATTATATAATATAATAAAATATTTAATCATAATAATTTATTCAAAATTTTTGAATATTATATTTTAAATAAATAATCATTAAACGACAAAGAAAACAAAAGCATATCATGACTGAAGTTAATTACCCATTGCAAGCCGCTTCGCAACCTTCAGCAAATTCTTCATGTCGTAATACCTGCAAAAAAGAACTTCTATAAAAACGAATTGCTTTAT